TCATAATACAACACAGTGCATTTATTTTAGTCAAATTAAAAAAAAAAAATTCCTTGTACAGTACATTGTCTTTTAACTGAACTATATGATTAACATTATCCTTAAGTAGTTATCATCATTCACCTTTCCACCTCAGACACAGACTCCAAAATTCACAGCAACTCTTAGAAGTTAACTTCAAAATGACACTTAAGCATTAAAAGCAGCTTTCTAGTTCCCCATCTGTCCTCACAAATGTGTTCATCAAGTATACAGGAAAGAAATATGATATTATCAATACACCTAAGTTCTGAAGCACTATCATGCTGATCTGATCATGGTGTAGCTTTCCACCTTAAGCTTGGCAGGAAATGTTTGATTTCTTTCTGCTTAGGGAAGCCATTTTATCAGCATTAACAGTATTAGGTAACAAAGTGGGGGCAGGCAGCCCACTAGTTTAGGCCTTAGCTTGTGTGACAGATCACAGAGGTGAGATATAAGAAGAGACCTTTCAAGGTCATTTGCACATTGATGAAAATTTTATTTTTTAAGCTGAATTGAATAACAAAATCAAATTTTATTTTTTAAGCTGAGTTGAATAACAAAATCACTTAGACAAAAGACATTATTCTTTAATTTAATTTAATTTTGTATCTCACTGCCCATCTTGACATTTGAGCCTAAGAAACTAAGGGTACAAATACATAAAGGTTGTAGGTTGGTTAGCATCAAAGGGGATGCTTTACTACTAATGTAAGGAAAATGACCACTGAGAGTTAAGAATAGGCACTACCCAAAAATAACACTGGTGTCAAAGAAAATCTTTCTTCTTCAGGAGGTAATTATTTAAAAAATCTTACAATTTTTGAGACTAGTTTATGTCATTGGTTATTATCTGCTCATTGCTTTTCCCTGGTAATGGTTTTAATCTGTATATTTATCTTGATTCTTTTTTTGAGATAAAGTTTTGCAATGATTTTGGATAGGTTAAAATACAAATTTTAAAGAGCCCTTGTACAATACTATTGTAGAAAGCAAAAGTTAAGTAGATCTGAGGAAGCTTCTGACATTGTACTTGATTCAAACAAGGTGACTGTTTCTTTAAGGATCTCTAATTTATTTACCCAATAGAAGCTCTGGTGGTGTAGTGCCTAAGGCATTTGACTGTTACCAGAAGGCTGGTGGTTCAAACCC